ACAATAAAACAATATAAAATACAGTAAAAATAGAATAAAACCAAACACATACACAAGTAATTGTTTATGGAAAGATTTTGTTGATGTTACATAGAACATTTCAATTCTAACATATTGTAATTTTAGATTAGTTAAATTTACAGCCTGTACTTCCTTAAAATTGTGGTATCCAATATTATATTTTTTTCTGCTATACTGTTAGATATCAGCAGTTACAAATCATAAATCTGCATGATAGAAATGTAAATTTTTATTTTGAATTTTACAGGCAGCTGAAAATGGACAGGGACCTTGGCAGAACTCCATCACGAAAAGATTATGTTGTCTTTCTGAAATTTGAAGCTGTAGGAAGTAAAGATGATTTCTTACACTCAGTGTCTGGTGCTGATATACCCGCCCAAGGTATGGTATTGGTAAAAACCTGAACTAAGTGTAAATAACTGCATTTTCCAAGAAAAATAATGAGATCAATATATGTATTGTTAAAAAACCATATATAAAAATTAATTTCTTGATGAGCATCTAATCAGAAAATTCTCACCTTTATAATCTAATTGTCTGAATAAGATAAAGACTTTTTGCAGTTTGAAATGCTCTAATATTGATCTCATAAAATTATTTTTATATTTCATTAGATAAAACCATAACCATAATTATTTTAATCATGATTATTGCATCCTGTGGAATTTCTTGAAAGTATTTTAACCCACATTCACAAAATAACATTTTGTGATCATTGTATCGGATCAAGGAAACAAAACTTAGACTAATGCTGAACCTACTGCTAACAAAGTCCCTTTGATTCCCTTCACTCCTCCCAATTTCTTTCAGTATTATCTCTTAGCTGATATATACACACAGAAAGTGTTTTCTCTTAGCATACATGCACACACACACGCCCAAACTTTAGTGGCGATATATATATTCCCCATCAAGCTTGAGGAATCCCTTTTCTTTTCATGAAAGGAACTGCTCGGTGTGAATGCATGATAGATGCTACATATGTCTGGCTGGTGAAATCTCTGGTCCTGTTAAACAGCCACTGCAATTTGCTAGAAGCAAGAGCACAAGAGTATGTACACGGAGGAATGTCTTGATGATATTCCCCCCCCCCTTTATTTTCCTTGTCATTTAGTTATGCAGCTTTTGGGTGGCCCCTATTTTGTTAGTCTTTCTGAAAATATAAATTCTGGTTCTAAATGGGAATGCCAAACATCACAGTTTGGGCTTTCAGGTGCTTTTGAATGTAATGATGACCATTTCCATTAGAATAAATTTGAAAATGCATTACAGCAGTAGAGTGTATGTAGAGTTGTTTAAGGTTGTTTGAAAACTATAGCTTGTACATAGGCTGTTGTGGGATACTGAGAATCTTGAATGTTTGAACTATATTTGGGAACTACAGTTATTTGATATTCTGGAAGCACAGCAGGTGTGGTTGAGATCCTAGCCTATTAGCACCTTATGTATCCATGGCAAGGGTCAGGGATTTTGTATTGGCCATTATTACATGTTAGTTTTAACCAGGAACTAAATCACAGTGTTCATGAGCTATGTACTGTATTGGTGTATGCAACCTGATACTTGCTTTAGTGAGTAAATGTCTCTGACATAGATAATTTAATGTTACAACTGAATTTAGGAATGTTGATTTTACCTGAATAAAATAGGTTTGTTAAGCCATTTTAAACTACAGTTTATTTAAAGAATCCTGGCTTGTTTTGATATAGCAAACTGTAACCCCATCTTCAGACATCATGCTAAACTAATCATTCTAGTTTGCTTTTCTGTTCCTATGAGCAGACAAAATGAGTGTGAACAGGCTGCTTGAACTATCACACAGCTTATGTCCAGTGGTTCCTGGTTCAAAATGATACACGATCATGGCTATCTTTTCTACTTCGATGAGTTCTTAAAAAATTACAGAAAGATCCCATTTCATGCTATTCAGAGGCTGCTGGATATTAATACAG